CAGACAGACACCTTATCTTGAGAATCACATCACAATCAGCGTACTTGTTTTACCGTTTCCAGTAATAGTTCACATGCGCAGATAGTTAATACACAAAACCGCACCACTTTTACATATCAAAATCCACTTCAAACCATTATTTAAACAATAATACAAGAGCAGCAATCCTCCACCGTTCAAGTTCCCGCCAAAACTCACGATATTTCCACGATTATTTCTTCTGCGGAGTATGTAATATTTGAAAATAGTTACATACTCTGAGGCTTCCCGCTATAATTTACCATTGATAATGACGTAAAATAAACATCACCTACATAACGCATGCGCATTGGTTACACTTGGAGATCAAGTCGACTCGGACGACTCGCAGTCTCGCAGTTTATTATTTGTGAAGTAGAGCATGTTATCGTAACGTCACTGTAGTGTTGTCGCATAATATAAATCATTATATTTACTCTGCTATATTTAAAATAATAAAACGTTTCGTTAAAAAAAATATTGAAGTTTGGTTACAGATATTGTTGATACTGATAGTAAGATACTGTTTTATATGTATTATTATATCACATCAATATAACGTTTAAGATTATTTTTATGAGATGAACGAGGTAAAAGCCGCCATTTTTCTTTTGTTAATTTGACACTTGTGGTGTTAGGAGAATGATACAATTTATACATACTAATTCAGCTCGTAGTGACAGTAATAGTTATAAAATCGTTATTTCTCTTCTAGATATCCTTCATATTAAAGTAAAAACGAACTTCCATAATTTATGCATTATGTATGTGTGTGTATATGTATATTCATATGTATATATGTAAATACAATCTTTTCAGTCCTTTCTATTTTGATTATCAAATCAAAATCCAAACCTATTACAATATTTCCATTCTGCTCTAAATTTCTATAACGTATAACAAACCAAATTCAAAATTCAAAATTTCTTTTGCGATTCGGGTTTTGTCCTGAAGTACTCGCACAGTCTTAAAACTAACTGTAACATTCTTTATGGCTAACTGTTCTCACTCTGTTGGATTTCGATAATCTAATACCACCTAATTTGTTTAGTTACAACTTTTCCTTTTTCCGTCATTCGTATACTGACAAATTTCCAATTTATACCTTATTTCCTCTGAAAAATTTGTAAAAAACAATCTATACGACTAATACGAATTTACTCCACTCATATTTATTCACTCATAATAATGACATCCTAAGAAACCCAAGTCATTCGGATTTGGATCGGATCATAAGTTATGATGCCGTGAGGCGAAACCGGTCAGTTTTTTAAATTATTATAATAATTATTATTAAGTATAAAGAATAAAAATTCTAATAAATAAAAGAAATATTGTGAAACTAGCACAAGTTTTAATCCAAATCACAAAAAGTTCTAAATAATTTGCAAAAACTTACTGCTCTAGACTACTTTTTGTTGTGCTTCAGCACTCTAGGTTATGGATGGGAATAAAGAAATAGCTTAACGAGAATAAAGCCAGTTATTACTAATATAGCGTTTTATTTCAGTGTTAGACTAAATAGAAAAAAGTGCTAAGAGGTTCATTGTTGACTTTGAATTGTCTGAAACCAATCTTTTAGTAGCAAGCTTCTCGGTATTCTATAGCATGCATTTCGGAGAGTATGCGTATTTTTAAAAAAATCCATCGTATAACCAGGTGGTCGTCGAGTTTTCTCTCCTTTGTTGTTGATGGAATACGCATTCAGACGAAACGGCTTACTTCGTCAAAGACAAAGCAAAGGAGTGAAATAATTTGGGGGTGTTTGTCTTTCCATCTGATCACAACCTGGGCGTTTTCAAGATAATAGTGAATAGGTATTTGTTATACTAATACAGGATAATTGAGCATCTAGGGCTTCATCACCACTTACCACTAGGTTTAAGTGGTGTAGTCAATCACTAGTCTGTAATTTATACAAATAAATAAAATTGAAGTGTCTGTTTGTAATGTTAAAATAACAACTTTTTACTAAATGCATTTGAAAGTATATACGGTACTAATAACAAAAAATAATTTTTAAAACTTTTGTCTTTCTATCTGTCTGTTTGTTCTGGCTAATCTCCAAAACGGCTGGACCGATTTTGACGGGACTTTCACTGGTAGATAGCTGATGTCATAAGGAGTAACTTAAGATACTTTTATTTTAGAAAAAGAATTAGGGTGCCGCGTAAAAAAATTAAAACCCATGAAATCGTAGTAAATTCCACGCGGGCGAAGTCGCGGGGGACAGCTAGTAAGTAAAAAAGAACCAAATCTGGCTGTTGTGAAATAAAAAATAAGTTTTCACATATTGATTTTCTATATTTACGCGAACACTACACATTAAATGATACTAATTTTTGCGGATTTTATCGCGTTTGATTTAACTTTTTAATTCCCGACGTTTCGGGTACTTTATAGCACCCATGGCCAGGGGACTGAGATGTTTGACGTCCTGATGTCATAGTTAGCCCGGCTAATATGGAGTTAATATTCAAAAACTGAAGGTAGCCGGGTACCTCAAAAGGAAAAACGGAACCTTTATAGGATCACTTTGTTTTCCGTCTATCTGTCTGTCTGTCTGTCAAGACCCTTTTTCTCAGGAACGCGTAGAGGTATCAAGCTCAAGTTATAAATATATTATAAATACTCAAGTTTACTGTCCCTTGGAGCTGTGAAAAATTCAATTCTAAGCTAACGCAATCAAAAGATACAGCCGTTTATGCCGCAAATTTTCGACATTTACAAGGAAATCAAAACATACAGGGTACTTCCCGTGAACTCTTGTGACTCGTGAAGAATTTTAAAATTTCGTACGAAGCAACGTATTGTAGCACAGATAAAGGAAAAATTGCGAAAAGCATTAATTTTTAGTTACATCATACAATAAAAATATTTTTAATAATTTTAAACTTATGTACCTACGGATTTGTTCGGAACCCTCGGTGCGCGAGTCCGACTCGCACTTGGCCGGTTTTTTTTAATGAAATAAGTTAAAGTAATTTTTTTCTATATTTTTTATTTCTATTAATCAAAATAATCACCTCTGCAATCAATGCATATTTGCCAACGCAGTGGCAGTTCATTGATGAGCAGCGGGGTCGAGCGATTGACCAAATCTGGTTGGCGACGTGCGAGCTTCTCCATCTTTGTGTTCACTTCTTCACAGTACACATCTGCAGTGATGCTCATCCCATTTGCTAAGAAGCTGTGATGAATCACACTGGCGCTAGACTTCTAAACAGTGACCATCACTTTTCTAGGGTGTTCTCATTTCTGAACGCTAGCATTGTCTAACAGAATCCATTTTTCATCACAGGTAGCACAATTCAGTTCAATATTCCTTCGTTTGTGTGCCTCGTGAGTTCGTGGGACACTCATTTGTCAAGCTTTTCTACTTTGCCAATTTGACGCAAATTAACCAATATTGTTTTGATGCTAACATCGAAAGCTACTGCTAATTCAGCCGTAGATTAAATATCATCAGCGTCCATAATCGCCTTTTAGTCGTCATTATCGGCTAAAGTTTTCGGACTCAGTTTTCGGGTTCATTTTTTAAGGTCGAAATTTCCAGTACGGAAGCGGGCAAACCAATAACATTTGGTGCGTTCGTTTGTAATATTCGCTCCGTAAAATTGCTGTTTCGTGTTGCTTGTGCGGCGTTGCTGCCACGAACGTACTCATATTCCATAGTAACTCGAATTTTTAACGTATGTATAATGATGAATGAGATTCAAATTGGATAAAAACATAATGATGATGAATAAACAAATGACTAGATTTGAAAAAAAATCCATGTTTTAAAATAAAATTAATTTAAAATTAATTTTATTTTAATTTAAAATTAATTTTATTTTAAAATTGGCAAACAAAAAGAATGTAGAACGGCAATTTCATAGGTATATACCTATTATTACATCGGGACGTCAAACACCTTAGTCGCCCCGTGACCACACCCGAAATGTCCGGAATTAAAAGGTGAAAATTAAACGCGATATAATTCATTAAATTAGAATAAGTACTCATTAAATGTTTGAATATTATAATTTGGTACTAAAATTTTAAAATTATCTCTTTATATGTATATTTTTCCTAAGTAACAAAAATTGAGATATTGAAATGATATGGGATAGTAAATAAGATACCTACGTAATATACGAATCTTATTTACTACCCCATATCATCCCATGGGTGTCGTATGAGGCGACTGAGGGAAACTGGAACAGGAGAAGGACAACAGCGTCTTCCTGATAATAAATTAAAATAATAAAAAACTGCAGTTGCCAACCCGCTTGCCATGCGTGGCAACCATGGCAAGAACAATTAAAAAGCAATCTATGGGTAGGTCTATGTTCAGTAGACTTTTATAGGCTGTGATGGATGGATGGATACGAATATTTCCTATTATCCTACGAACAATAATCACACGTGGTGAAAAAATCTATGTGAACGTTATATTACGTTATGCCAATAAATATTGCTAAGGCTTAACATAAATACTAAAGTTATACGAGAAGAAATTCAATTACTAATACAAACGCTCGAATATATAATGATTAATGTAAACGGTTATTTTACTTTATCACATTAACATGTATCAACATCACTACTCTACTCTGTAACTGTTATGTTTTGACAGTTGTATTTGTAGTATCGTTGCCAAGCAGTCACGCATCGCAATTAAATGCAAAATGCCTGTACGTGGTGGCTGAGACATGCGACAGTGACCCACTTGGCTACCGGTCGTGGGTGTGTCCAGTGAAAGCCGTTGCGTCAGAGACGGGACGCGTGTCTACGTCGGGATGCGGCGGCCGACACACATCAGCATGGCTCACACTACTATACAATTATTCCGGTCGCACGTTGAATGTACGGCCATTCGCTCTCCGTCGTCCGCCACCGCGTTTCATCTACATCGGCTGCCGCGTAAAGGTTATGTTTATCGCAGCGCAAAACTGCGCTCGCGTGTTTTTAAAGTTCAAAAAGTTTAAGTGTTCAAAATGGTTGTGTATCGGCTACCTCGCATCCTACCGCTGTACCCTGTTCTGGGACTTCTCGGCGCGTACGCTCAAGCTTTCACGGTAGTGCCAGTCTGCAATTCATCAATTTACTGCACCGGTGATCTCCTGCACAGAGTGCAACTAGCGCGGATTTTCCCAGACTCAAAAACGTTCGTCGACCTCAAGCTTGTTTATTCTGAAAATGAAACACTGGCTGACTACGCAAAATTAATGCACGATACGGATCAAAACCCATCACGAGAGCAAATCTCTAATTTTGTTGATCTGCACTTCATGGAAGGAAACGAGTTAGAGTATTGGATGCCACCCGACTTCGACCCTGAGCCGCCGATCCTAGATCGAATCGCCGATCCTAAATTGAAGGTTTTTGCAAAGCATGTGATTGGTATGTGGGCAAAGTTAGGTCGGAAAGTAAACTTTGATGTTGTCCAACATCCCGATCGATATAGTTTCATTTACGTGCCCAACGGATTTATTGTTCCTGGTGGAAGATTTAAGGAGTTGTACTATTGGGATTCTTTTTGGATGATAAGAGGACTTCTGCTCAGTAACATGACGGAAACCGCTCGAGGCATGATTGAAAATCTTCTTTACCTTGTTGAAAATCTCGGATATGTTCCTAACGGTAATCGGATATACTATCTTGGAAGAAGTCAACCGCCGTTATTAGCAGCGATGGTTGCTAGCTACTTCTCCGTGACCGGTGATATTGGCTGGTTGGAACAACATGTTGGAACCGTCGAGAAAGAACTTCAATTTTGGTTAGATAAAAAGAAAGTGACAGTCGAGGTGAACGAAAAAAAATATGTTTTGCTGAGGTACTTGTCCGACAAGAATTGTAAAGGTCCGCGACCCGAGTCCTACTTTGAAGATTACATGAACGCACGCACTCTCCCCAATGAAGAAAAACGCGAAGAATTCTACGCAGAAATGAAAAGCGCTGCGGAGAGCGGATGGGACTTCTCGACGAGGTGGTTCGTGAACGCCAAAGATGAGGTCGTGGGTAATTTGACAGATGTGCACGCCAGCAGAATTATTCCAGTCGATTTGAATGCCATTTTCGCAGGAGCGCTTGAACTTGTCGGTGATTTCCGTAACCGATTGAAGGACAGGCGGATGGCTCAAAAATGGTGGAGTCTCGCGAAGTACTGGCGCAGCGCGATCCAGCACGTGTTGTGGGACCCGTCAGATGGAGTGTGGTACGATTACGATTCTATGGCGAAAACTGCCAGAAGACATTTCTATCCTAGCTGTGCCACGCCCCTGTGGACTAAAGCCGTAGAGGACTACGAGTTACCCAAATATGCGGCCCGTTTAGTACGGTACCTTTTGTCTTCCGGCGCTCTTGATTTTCCCGGCGGTATCCCCTCATCCATTCTTCATTCAGGGGAACAATGGGACTATCCGAACGCATGGCCGCCTATGCAAAGTATACTAATTGGTGGTTTAGATGGCAGCGGAGACGACGAAGCCAAACAGCTGGCTAAAGAGCAGGCTGTTCTTTGGATTTATGCAAATTATATAGGATATAACACTTGGAAAAAAATGTTTGAAAAGTACAGCGCGGTACAACCAGGTCATCATGGTGGTGGTGGAGAATACAGAGTTCAGGATGGGTTTGGATGGACGAATGGAGTTGCTCTCGAACTTCTGGATAGATATGGTAAAGAATTGATCATTAACAAAAAGATAATAACCTCCCTGCCTTACGTTCGACATATAGCAGTATAAGCGCATAGTTTTATATGCGTGTGATCAGTGTTATTTTTTTTTTAAATTCTTATTATTGTTCATTGATATAAAATGATAATTAAATTTATAACAAAAGTAAATACTTAAAAAGTTTATTACAAAGAACAGTGTACACCAAATAAACTAAATTTGATAGCGTGTGCATTCATTTAAATAATTATTTATAATAAAGTAAAAAAAAAAAAACTAAAAGCTCAAAAGATGACGAGTGTCAAATTCAATATTTTTACGCTTTATGTTCACGTTTTCGGGGCATAAACTATATTTTATATCATTGATATTGAATGATTATTCCTTTAGTGTATGTATTTTAATTGTTGTATTTTAAAACATTGTGATATAATCGTTAATGTTATAAGATCAAATGTGATATTCGAATATATGAATTAACATGATTTGTGTTACTATGGCCTTGTGAAATTTATATAATTAATAAAAGAAATTTAATAATAAATGGAATATCTAATAATTTCACTTTGCAACATTTTAATACACACACCAGAACTAGAAATAGGTTTTTTATTCAATATAGATTATAAATATGCATAATGAAGGTTATTTTTATGTTTATTTTACCACTGGATACGAAAATACCTGTCTTGGAAAAAAACAGCAAAAAATCCAGCGGTACTTACTTAAAAAAACACAAATTGGTAATTAGCATGCTTGTTTTACAAATATTAAACAATTAACTATATTATAAATCTTATTAGAAATAGTTTGATAGCGATGTCACCTCATTCTCAGGGGCTATTCGTTATATGATATTATACACGTATGCCTCTTAGGCAAAACAAACATAATTTCAGTGTCAGTTGCTTTTAACCATAGCACAATATTATACATTTTGCTTTGAAAATAGCTAAAATAAACTAGATTTATCTGTTTCAACGCTGGTAAGATTTCTAAACTTTTTAATAGCATACGCTGCAGAACTGGTCTGTTTGCGAGTTATGATTTAATTGAATCTTCGTATCTAGAGTGATTCCAAGAAAAACGGTGGTATCTATAAGATTTAACTTTTCCTTATTTAAAATTTCATTAGTATTAAGATATTTACCATTTAGTGTTATGCATTTCATACATTTGCCATTTAAATGCAAATAGTTAACGTTAAACCAATTTACTAATTCATTAGCATTAATAACTCGTCATATTTTAGTTATTGTCGTTTAAATTTTAACATTACGAATCATCACCAAATAAAACTCAATCATGGTATATACGAGGACACTGAAAGTTTTTAGAACTGGCCACTTGCAAACGACATAATAAAAAAATAAGTTGAAATTTTGAAAATGAAACCCTTTGCCAATATTATTGTGTATGTATTTTATTTATTTTTCATTTGTTTACGATTGGGCGGCAAATTTAAAATTGTCTGTGTCACGTCAACATGAATTTAGCGTGAATTTTTTACGACTTTCGATGTCATTTAAGTCGACAAGAAAGTTATGATAGACTTCGATTGGCCTTTCACAATGAAGCCCCATCTCGTGCCACTGTTTACAACTGGTTTAATGCGTTTAAACGTGGTCGCACTAATCTCACCGACAATCTGCGTGAGGGACGGCGTTTTACGGCGACGATTGAAGATAACATCAGTGTTGTGCGGCGTATGATAGAGACTGACAAAAGAGTGACTTATCAGAAGATTCGGACAAGCTTAGGCATTGGTGTGAGTCAAGTGCACAAAATCCTCCATGAACATTTAGCGGTCAGAAAGCTTTGTGGGTAATACCTCATAATTTGACAGAGATCCAAAAACTTCATCGTGTTGATTGGTGTCGTGAAATAGTTCAAAGATTTAACGGAGGTGACTCAAATGCTGTGTTCGATATATTTACGGGTGACGAAAGCTGGATTTATTGTAATGATCCTAAAACTAAGAGACAGACTGCTATCTGAGTGTTTCCTTCCGAGGAGTTCCCAACTAAACTGAAGAGAGGTCGAAGCGTAGGAAAAAGATGGTGGCCGGGCCACTTCTTCGGAAGGACAGGTCATTACGCAACAATTATTTTAGAGGATCGAAAAACAGTTACTGCAGAGTGGTACACTAACAATTGTTTGCCAATTTTCTTGGTAAACGACCTCGTAGTAGGATCTACCTTCACCACCACAACGCCTCGTCGCACACCGCCAAGCAAACGCCAAAAAAACCCGCCCTATAGCCCTGACCTCGTACCTTACGATTTTTATTTATTTCCGAAAATAAAATAAAAATTTCGGGGAACACGTTTTATGGACGCCGTGGAAACAGTGGCTGCGTTTAAAAATGCCGTTGAAGAGACCCCTAAGGACGAGTGGGCAAAGTGCTCTTCTCAGTGGTTCCATCGAATGCAGCGATGTATTGATGTAAATGGACACTATTTTGAAAAGATATATAATAAAACTAATAACTTGCTAGTTCGTTCAGTTTTTGATTTTCTGAGAACTTTCCGTGTCACCCTCGTACTACGTGTATCACTACAAAAAACCGAAAGGGGTCGAGAATTGAACCCTGAAACACACCCTATCCTATCCTCATGGATGTTACCTATTAGTGCTATGATATACAATACAAAAGATTGTTGTAGCTTTCTGTCTATTACTACCATTAAGAAGTTATTTGAAAGACCAAATTTCAATATACCTCCACTTTTAATGGTTAGAGCCCGCCTCTATTGTATTTAAAAAGATGTCTTTGTTTGCGTTGCGTTCGTAGTTCGTGAGCTGATAACTTTTTCATCTTGCATGTCTTGAGAAGAAATTATGATATCGTCTCCAAACCAATTTTCTTAAAAACCATTCAGTAGTTTTTTTTTTTTTACAATAAAAAATTGGGCATATAATAAAGTCTACATAGTTGTTAATACCATGTATATGCGGGAATGGACACTGTAAAATACCTGACTGAACGCCCAGGAGTAGAATAGATCATTACGAGTACAATAATGCTTGTATATTAAAATATACTCGCATATCATTGTATTGCAAACCCAACAAGGAACAACAAAAATTTACTTTGATTCCGATAAAATTGTCAGATAGATGTTATCACATCACAAAATGTAATTTTTAAGATAGAACTATGTTGTCTTCTAATTTTCTCCGGCGTTAGTTATGTTTTAAAAGAGTTTTATATACAGATAGACCCAACATCGTTTGATAGCTAGATTTAAAAAAAATGACTTTGCGACATGTGCAGATAGAACCTTGTTTACCCAACGCGACGATATTATGGGAATCTCACAGTGGTGTGAACGTATCGTACCCACATTCATTTTAAATATAACTATAATACACCTATGCCAATAGTTCACTACGTATATACGACAACGAGATAAAAGGTCAGTCATACTAGTTAATTCCATGATAACATTAGAATGTGTTATGTACGAGTACAGTTGTTTTTATATGACTGCATCAGTACAAGTAGAAGAAATCTTGTATACATTGTATCAATTCCGGCCGTTTCCTCTCAATTTATTGCTTGAGTCTCATTAGTTATTGGCAGTAGAGATCCGAATCAATGGTTTCGCCCGGCGGTAAAAGCTCATAATAAACGATGCCCTTCCAATCCCATCATACACACAGCATCACCTTATTGCGTGTTAATCCGGGTTTCGCTACAGTCTGTGGAGCTTGACTACCCTTTGACCATGATCTTTTTCGCACGTTCTTGTCTTAGGTGATCCACTTTTCATCATCACTATCATCATCATCATCATCACTACAGCCCTTCACAAGTCCACTGCTGAACATAGTCCTCCTCAAGGAATGCCATAAAGCACGGCCTGAGTCACCTGCATCCATCGACTTCCTGCATGTCTTACCAAGTCGTCACTCCTTCTAGTGGGGGGACGCCCTACACGTCGTCAGCCGGTACGAGGCCGCCACTCCAGAACCTTTTTTCCCCATCGGTTGTCGGTTGTCGAACTATATGACCGGCCCATTGCCACTTCAGCTTCAACTATGGTTCTACTGCGCATATCCTTATTTCTAAGTTTATCACGAGTCACTCCGAGCATAGCCCTCTCCATAGCTCGTTGAGCGACCTTGAAGCTTCCTCATCAGGCCAGCAGTGAAGGACCATCAGCATCATCACCTGTGATCAATATTTTCAAATATGATTTGATTTGATTACGTTTCAATAGATAATTGCAAACGAGTACACGAAAACACCTCGTTTCGCTTGACAACTTTAAGTTTTATAAAAATTACTTATAGTGATTGTCTTGAGTAAAAATAACACCTATCTGGATAGTATACACACTATGTCCAAAAAGTGCAAAAGAGGGCCGTGCGGGCAATTTATAAATAAAACTTTTAAATTCCCTGAGAGAAAAATTTTAACAAATAAATATATTAACTTTAGCATCGCAACATCAAAGAGAATATAATCACTACTGCGTTTATGCAACATATTTATGGAAATGTTTACTCGTATGTACATAAAACATGAATAGCTTTGATAAGAACAAAAATGTTGTGTTCATGCTTTAAATACTAGGAACAAAGATAAGCTTGTAATGTCAGTTACTACACCACTATAACTCACACAAATGAATGTACAAAAATATTGAAAAATTATATTAAAAAAATTATCTTGCTGGGTTTCTTGCTGGTTCTTCCCAGGTCAGAGGTATTTTCCGAACCAGTGTTAAATAAAAATATATTAACTGGTTTAAAAAAAATCTATTTAAGTCGCATTGTGTTAATTTCTAATTATTGTTCACCTTAGTAGCTTAGGAGCCGTGGTAGCTCAGATGGTTAGCGCTCGCTGTAAATTTAACAGTGCGCGAGCCCCCCGGGTTCGATCCCCGCCGGCGCTAATGAAATTAATTGCAATTTTAAGTGCTGATTTACCAAGTGCTCGGTGGTGAAGGAAAACATCGTGAGGAAACAGCATGTCTGAGAAATAAGAAAAAAATATTTCGAAGACGTGTGAAGTTCTCCAACACGCATTGGAGCGTAGCGCGGCGGACATTTCCTTGCCC